AGGAGGTATGACACTCGGGCTAGGATTCTATTAATAGATATATCGCCTCCGGATGCTAGTCAGGTGTCATGCGAACAAATCAATGGCAGCGGCGAGCAAAATATGCAGTGAGCTGTACAGTCCTATTTTCCCTGACAATAGGCTCGCGTGAGAGTTCGGGGCGTCAGGTAAACAACGCCTTCTCGACTTCTGTGAAACCTCGGGTGACGAACAGCCCCGTCTACAAATATTTCTGGTAAAGAACGAACCACTCACAGAAAATCTGTTTCGATTGAGGAGCTTGCGCCCAGTTGCGTGCGTGTGTGTCAGTGTCCACTGTTGAGTATTGCTCGCAGGGCATGGGTCCTCGGTTACCTGCAGCCAATCAGTGAACTAATGCAGTTAGGTTGGTTATGCCTGGCAAGACGAGCGTTTCACATGACAATCTCGGTGCTAGAAGGGAGTAACCTCGTTAACCGCGACTCTACTGTGTATAAACAAGAACCAAATTGAACAGTTGCTGAGATCGAATCCTGAAGCAAAGAACAGCGTTCGAGAAAAAATGAATATAAAATGTTGATTAAAGTGTTCAGCCTAGACTCAATAAGAGAATTTTATGCTGTACATACGGACTTCATGGACAGTCCCCAAGGTCGTGCGACAGTTTGGCCGCTGTTTCCCGTGTGCCTCGCACCGGAGTGGATGCAGGGACGGTGACTTGCGGTTGATTTAGTATTAAGTGATAGAAGACTTGAGCAACATCCGCCGCATTTTTCTCCTTCAGCCATCTGAGCCTGGTTTAACGACTAACTCAAGAGCGGAGACGGGATCGAGCACGGCGTGATACCGAACCTACGCGGGCAACCACCCCACTCCCCCCCCCTCTATCTACGGTATTCGTCATGGATGTCCATCCCGATTCACGCTGACTGTATCCAGAGCGAGCCTGTCGTGTTGGTCCAGCGTCCCAGGGGGCTTCAGCGTTCAAACACGTCCAAATTGGTGTGTATAAGAAGACAACAGGAATTTACACAGTGGCTGAGCTTCAAAGAATTATGAGTTAGTCCGAAACCAAAATACAGGGAAGACGTTTGTCCTTCTTGTGCATATCACAATTACTTATAAAAGTCGTTTTCGTTGGATGACTAGAAAATAGAGCAGAATAGGAAAGGATACAATCATCAGACACACGCACAGCTCGTGTGAGGAGTGGCAGAAAATTTCAAACTTTCACCAAAATGCGGCAGGAACGAGCCAAGGCAAGAGCGAAAGACAAGGAGCAACGCTGCAAACATCTGTTGGCTTAGTAAATGCGATCAAAATTGATGTTGCTATTATCCGGATCGGGCGGAAGACCGCGGTATCGAAAAGCATTGGCGGCACCGTTCATCGCACCACTCAATCCACCGGGCAATACGCCACCACGGCCACGGAAATTTTGCGGGCCTGCAGAACGAAAATTGTTCATGTGGGCAGCCACTGCGGCAACGTTGCGCGACCGATGGGCCTGGCTAAGATATTCGAGGAAGGAGATGCCACTGGAGGAAAGGCAGGAGAGGTCACCTGGTAGAGGCTCCTCTTGGAAGAACTCGTGAGCAAGAGACTGATCTGCATCTAACCGTTTGCTAGGATCACAGACAAGCAATTTGTCGATAAGATCCAGAGCCGACTGACAAGGAATTGTGGGTGCGAGTTTCTCCCGGAGTGTGCGCTTTGTATCCATTGGAAGCTTTGCGTTTTTGAAGGCATCCAGCTTCTC